TAATCATTATTTCATTCTTGATGTTTATTAAATATTAAAAAAAAAAAAAAGGAAAATTATGCTTACAAGCGCTACAAAGCAAACGCAGCCTCTCTCTCTCTCTCTCTTTCTATTCTCTTATTTTTCTTAATATCTAGTTTTTCTATTAATTTCATATCTTTTTCTTTTTGTCGTACTTATATATAATATATCAATCCGGTAACAGTTTCACGCAGAAATATGCTTGGCTTTTGATTCTAGAGAATGCAATTCTGGAGCGCATAAGAGCGATTCTTTTTCTATTTCTCTCTCTCTCTCTCTCTCTTTCCCTCCCATATCACGCACTCGCTCTTCCCGCCGAAACTTTACGGCGCCGTATTCCCGCGCCCGTGAATTGCTCATTCACGCCGCGAGCGATTTTGACATAAGAAGGACGAGGCGACCGATTTGTTTATGCTTTTAGCCGACGGCAGCCGTACCGGCGTATCGTCCGTCGCGACGACGCGAGGCGCGATTACGATCGCGACGGCCGCGAAAATTCAGCGCCGTCGCGAAAATAACCGCGGATCGACCAAGCTGGAACACCGGCGACAAACGCGAGTTGAGAGGAGCGGAGGCGATTTTCCTCCGAGCGCGCGAGAAGAACGTTCACCCAAAACAGAGTCGCGAACAGATCGGAGAAAGAGGTGAGAGAGAGAAACGCAAACGAAGGAGCGAGAAAAGGAGAAAAAAACAACATTGTCGCTCTCGCTCGTCGCGTCCGGCTCATTCCGATATTCTCATTTCTTTTGACAGAACAAACAGAGGAGTGAAGAGGAGGTGGAGGAGGAGCGCGCGCGCGCGATCGAGAGCCTGCGAGAGACGCAACGAGACGGGATGGATGGATGGATGGATGGATGGAACGGGATGAGACAAGGCGAGACACACGGGCAACAACACTTTTTCACGGAGCAATATTTACGCGACGCGCGATATAATGGCACCAGACCTACCGTATATCGATACTGCGCGTCCAATGTTTTCCGAATCGCACTGTCTTGTCCGCGTCCGGCAGCACTTTCACACATATATTTACGGCGGCGAGTCGCAATCGAAAATTTTCGGCGCAGCGACCATGTATAAACCGTACACCGACACGGGTCCCCCTTGACGGAACTGAGGCAACGTTGGTTGACACGAGCTGGCCCGTGAACAAAGACCAAAAGATTTCAAATCCCGCCGCGCCGATTGGCCAGTCACAGTCACGTGGCTCGGGCGCTCGGTCCCTTATTGGCCAACTGCCACGGGGGTGCGAGGACGTTTTGAACGATGCGCCGCAATGCACATGGCTGACAAAGACGAGACTTCCCGCGGGGGAGTCGAGCAGACTCAGAGCCGCGCGATCGCGCCCCCGATTACCGTTTTGTCACCGACGAATTAAGAATCCTCGATGGATCCGCGTTGACGAAGACACACACGATGATGCGGCTCAGCGAACGTGGCTTCAGCGCGCACTACAGTTTTCTCCCTAACCTTCCCCACTCGAAAAATGGCCGAACCCAAAACAACACCGCGCGCGCGGAAAGACACTGGCTCCCGATGGCGGCACGATGTTCCCGCGACGTATTTCGCTCGCCGTCCGTGCGACACCACGCGATTTTTCCACCGTTCACCACGCGACGCGCGCCAACGCCGTACTCGTCCGCAAGTTCCGTCTCGCGAGCGCGGCGAATAATCGCCGTGCCGTGAACGAGATTGAAAACGACGGGCGAGTCCATTGCGGCCACTACGGAGGGGAGTCGGGCAGCTGCCCGGTTAAGAATGAAACACTACGCGGCGCCGATAATGGCGGGAAGGTATACACACGCGCGCACGCGGCACATGGATGTTTATCGACTCGGCCGAATGCACACCGCGCACTTTTCCTCACCGTTCTTCCTTTCGTCTCGCTCTCTCCTCTTCGCTCCGAATTTCGCGCGAAAAATCTCAACGTTTTTTTCACTCTCACTCACTCACTCATTCACCCACTCACTCACACACGCACACACACACACACACTCTCTCTCTCTCTCTCGCTGCTATTTCCTTCGATTAACATCCTAGGTCTTTTACCTCCAAAATCAATAGACAGTCTCTTATGCGAATTATTTCTCTGTACATACGTTTCTCTCCTTTACTTTATTCGTAACATTGATCACGTTAATACATCGCTTTGACTTATTTCTTTAAAATATATGTATTACAAAACATTTTGATTACTTTGTTTCCCTCGATGCCTCGATCCTGATTCTCCATCATCAAAATGCATGCTTCTGGATGCTATCAGCCTTACAAAAATATTTTTTCTTCGATATAAAACATTTGTATATATATTTTATGTGAGTACTGTATTTACTGCAAATACTTCACATGATTATATGATAATATTATTTAGAAGTTTCTCTAATTTGAGCAGACTGCTTTGGCCCCATTTCCATTGGCCCCATAGCACTCCATTATTTCCTTGTATGTTCGATTTCTTGGTGTTCACAATTTACTAAATTTTATATCGTTTCCTTGATGTCTTTGTCCGTTTCATTATGATCCACGTTATATTCCATTCATTTTCTGTATTTGAAATTTCCTTAAAGCCCCATTTTTAAATTGAGCTATCACTCATCTTTTCTTCAAAGATATTCACTTCGTTCTTCTTTTCTTGTATTACATTATTTCTTATATGAATATATATATCTTTCAACTCCATCCAACAATAATAAAAATTTAAAATAGCATAACAATATATAGAAATATATATTGACTTAGGATATCATTGCACATTAATTGCGATCTCTTAAACTCAAGAGATTCCGATTGATACACTTATCACTTGTAGGATGGTCGAATTTAGCTATCAATAGCTGTAAACATTCGACTATGGCACTTTTAAAATCTGATGCATAATGTATACCATATTCGTTTAAGCATTTGCAACAGATGGTATTATTTTAGTAAATATTTCTATTCCGTTCAGGAAAATATCTTTGTTTAGATATTCATCGTGATCGTGAAGACGTATCTTTGTATTGTTCATCGGTGAGAAGCAAAAAACAGGAATGCCCACCTGAAAAATAAATATAGCCAAAGTTATATTTTATATTTGAAATATATAATAATATATAATATAGTATATTAAAAATTATAATACATGTATAACAATGTATATTTTTTATAATTAACATGAATGTTATTATTTAAATGCGATGCTTAACTTATTAGCACAATGTTTCTAGTTTTAATGTGAAAATCACATTTCTTATATTCTAATGTAAAATTGCTGATAATAAACTGCTATTTTTAGCCAA